GGGGCCACGACCATAGAGTTTTCCCTCGGATGACCGTGGCCCCGCCCCCAGCGTGCCCGGCGTCGTCACGTCACTTCCAGGTGACGCGCACGCCGGGGTGGGGTCCCCCCAGGGCCCGATCCACCAGTGGCGGGTAACAGGCCTCCCAGGCGGGGGTTTCCCCGCCCCCCGGGGGGACTTGGCAAGCCTAGGTTTAGATGATGGCCACAACACTGGCCTCAGTTGCCCCGGGGCCAACTACGTGGCTTGGGTCGCTCTCCCAGATCATGCTGAACATCACTTTCACTGCCACCTAGGCTTGCCAAGCCCCCGCCAAAATGGAGACAAATCCGCCGGCGGGGATCGGGCCGCCGGGGGGAACCCCACCCCCAAAATGGCAGGATCAGGCCCACACCCCCAGCGCCACCCGGAAGTGATGTCATCATGCCGGGGGCGTCACTCAAAGAAATTTGAGTTTCTTTTCCCCTCTTTCCCCCCCCCCTCTATATTTTTATAATTTCAGGATACAACATCTGGTCTTAAAATAAGTATACTAAAGAACCTGTATACATTTGTTTGAATGTGTGTCTATAAAATGTTGTATAGTGACCACTGAGGAAGGCCCTTTGAGGCCGAAACGCGTTTGGTCCTTAGTTGGAAAGTGTTGACCCATCATGTGTATTAATATTTGATATGTTTTTATTAGTCTGATACTTGAAAAAATTTTGAACCCGAATATATTTTAATATGTGTACACCCTAATAAATTTTGTATTTTTATAATATATATGGTCAGCGCAACCCTACTGCCACCCCAACTGCTGAAGACCCCCAACAGGAGACAAGTAGCAGGGCAGACCTCAACACAATGTATTGGTATTCAATATTTTGATTCCTGCCTCATCCCAACAGCAACAATTCGCACCTTTGGCACACATGAGACATCCTTACCGAGAAAGGCCACGCTCCCGTAGGTCTCCAACATGACTTCCCTGTAGAGAGCTCTTTGGCCCGGATCCAGGAGCTCCCACTCGGCCTCGGTGAAACACACGGCCACCTCCTCAAAGGAAAAGGGAGACTGAAAAGAAAGGCAGAATCCCTCCTCAGAGATCAGTCCAGACAGAGAAGGCACACTGGGAGGGGGCAGTCGGGGAGGGCGGCGGATGCAGATCTTGGCATGGGCGAAGGGAGTGGCACTCTT